AGGCGGCGAAACCACTGAGCTAAATCCCCGGCACCTTTGCCTTTTTGAGGATGAGAGGGAACACTCTGGAATGGCTAAAATCAGGAAGGGAGGTGTCTGGGCCTCTTGTTTGCATACCCAGTGTGCACACCCACAGACCTGCCCCTCACTAGAACCAACCTGTGAGTTCCTTTGAAAAGCAGCACAACCATTCTTCAGGTTTTACTCCAGGAGGGCTACCTCCTGTGCACTACAACCCTGTGCTGCAGTACGGGCCCTGTTCAAATTAAGACTTGCTCTGGTTGGGCCTGGGATTTAGCTCAGTGGTTTCGCCGCCTGCTGCGCAAGCGTAAGGACCTGAGTTCGATCCCTGGTACCAAAAAAAAAAAAAAGACTTGCTCTAGTAAACCTGCTTGTGATTTTTTTTTTTGAGACAGGGCCTCGCTATGTAGTTCAGACTGGCCTTGAACTCATTATGTAGTCCAAACTGGCCTCAAATCCTCCTACCTCAGTCTCCCAAGTGCTGGAATTACGGGCATGAGCTACCACACCCAGTTTATGCTTGTGATTTATTTCTCAGGTGGTGTGGGCTCTGAAGGTCTTGTGGGCAGAGCAGTGTTTTACAAACAAAGATCAAAAAAGATGAGTAAACACTCAGAGCCATTAATACAGAAGCATTCCAGAGACCAGCAGCCAATGAAGACCAGCATCTGACAGAGTGGTAGAGTCTACCCCTGACAGCGTCAACCCATGTTGTCCTGCACCAGCTGGCATTGGATGGTGAGAGCCACCAACAGCAGTGGCCAGCAGCTTGGCTATGTCAACTGTTGACATCCAGCATCACCTGGTGACATCAAGACTGCTAGCAGAGCTGCATTTGGCAGTAGAACCTTAGGCTGATCAACAACAGTACTACAAAAAAAAAATACATATATATGATAGTTCCTATTCATCAAAGGTAATTATTTTTCATCAGCATTTTTTTTTTTGGTACTGGGGATCGAACTTAGGACCTTGCACTTGCGCAGCAGGCACTGGAACCACTGAGCTAAATCCCTGGCCCAAAGGTAATGATTTTTAAAAATAAAAAGGGCTAGGTAGATAGCTCAGCTTAGTACAAGCACCTGGAGTTCAATCTCTAGTACTGAAAAAAGACACGAGCAGAGCAAGAATTACGGGAATCAAGCAAACCTCTGTAACTGGGAAACTACACACAAATTTATAAGAAATAAACTTAGAAATTCAAGAAGCCCAACAAACTCTGACCCACACAGAGATACAAAGATTGAAAGCAACAATTAAAAAAAAAAGTTAACAAGACATCCTTGGTGGCACACACATAATTCTATCACTTGGGAGACTGAAGCAGGCAGATCACAAATTGGAGTCACACCTAGGCAATTTAGTGACTTAGTAAACCCAGCCTTGTTTCAAAATAAGAAATACTGTAAAAAAGGGCTGGGATGTAGCTCAGTGCCAAGGCCCTGGGTTTAATTCCCAGTACTGGGGAGGTGGGGGTTGAATCAACATATTACAAGGTGCTTCTATAAGATTATCAACAGATTTCTTAGCAGAAACCTCACAGGCAAAGGGAGCTGGATGATAGATTTGAAGTGATTTCTTTAATGACAACAAGCCTTTCTACACAGGATATTATGTTGGGGAGAACTATCATTTTACTTTCCCAACATAAACAAAAGCTTAGAAAAATCATTACCACTACACCTGCACTAGGAAAAATACTAAAGGGGGTTCTTCAAGTTAAAATGAAAGGATATTGAGGGGCCGGGGATTTAGCTCAGTGGTTCTGCCGCCTGCCTTGCAACCACAAGGTCCCAAGTTCAATCTCCAATACCAAAAAAAAAAAAGAAAGAAAGAAAGGATGTTGAGGACAATATGGAAGCAATGAAAACAGCTCTTAGATTTTGTTTTCTTTCTTTTTGCCTGATTAAACTGTACACCAAGGCCAGTTAGGGATGTGCAGTTCTTTTCTGAAAACATTCCTGGAACGTAGGATAGAAGGCCTGGCTGGCTGAGTCCCAGCAGTTCAGGTCTGCCATTTGCCCCAAAAGATCTCAACAGCAGTGAGGAGAGTGGTAGCGAAACAGCTAAGAATTATTTATGTGTGGCCAGACCCAGGGAGGACCGAAGCTGATAAGCCGAACTCCTCCTGTTGAGGTGCTAACAGTAGTTGCTGAATCATTCGGGGGAAGAACAAGGGTTGATCTTGTCTCAGGTTTGATCATAGGCATCCCAGGTGGCACCAGGGAAGTTGTTATTGCTTGAGAGGCACAGTTTCAGTGTAAAGCTTGCTGTTTCTGGAATTTGAGATAAGCTGGGGAGGAGAATTAGAGAGCAGGTCAGAGGAGCAAAATGGAGTTGACTAGGACAATAACCAGGACTTCCTTCAAACACTCCCTAGTCCAGGCAATGGAAAAGGCACGCCGAGAATGATGATAGGGGGAATTGGTCATAACGAGAACCAACAGAATTAATTTATGTTTTCTTTTAGAGTAACAGGTTCACTTTCTCCCATGTAGGGTCTAAGGAGGTCCCCCAAAGAAGAGAGAGGGATCTCAGAAAGGCTACAGACTTTTTGGGTGGTGCCACCTACACCCAGGGTAGGCCTTCTTATTATCCACATTCAGAATTACGCTGATTCCAATCAGTGGACTAATTCTAATCAGTGGACTAATTCAGTACCACACATCCTTAATCCCAGTATCACACACCTTAGATCCACCCAGCTCCAAAAAGCTCCCCCTATGTACACATGAGGGCTTGGGGAGACACCTAGACACAAGCCATAATACAGGTTAAGGCCCAGGAGTTTGTTCCCTATCCCTGTAGGGGTCACTATGTCACACTGACTTAGCAAAAGCAAAATTAAAAACCCTGATACCCACCTGTCTGAGATCCACAATCTTGCAAAAAACCATGTACAAGCACTAAGCTCAGGGTGAATGGCAAGATGGTCAATAAGGGTGTTCAACCCACCATCTTCCAAGTTGGCTTTTATCAAATCTTTTTCTTCCTCTAACATCGTCTCTTTTCTCTGGCTTTCCTGAGCAGCAGTGCACTTGAACCTTTCTTGGTTACATCAGCAGAGAGATCTCCTCATAAAGCAGACATAAGGCTGTTTGTTTACAGTTCTAAAAAAGCTCCCATCACAAAGACACTCCAAATACACAGCTCAAACAAGAAAAGGTGTTTTTTTCTTTCTTAGCAGCCTAGAAGTGGGCAGGTGGTTCAGGTTGATATGGGGATAAAGTTCCCTTTCATCCTGCTAGTCCCCCAGTATGTCCCAGCTACAGAATAAGGGCTGACAACAGGCACCTGGGTAGGGAGAAGGGAGGCTGTGATAAACCAGTGCTTTCCTTTCCGAAGGGTTTGACTCAGAAGTCAGAAACATTAATCCGGCTAGAGGTGACTATTACAGTCACAACTTGAGGCAAAGGAAGAAAAGAAAATGTATTCATGATAATGTGAAGCACACATTTGGTCCTTTGGCGTCAAAAATCCTGAGGATCTCCAATGACAAATGTATTTGGGGTTTTTTGAAGCAAAACATGTATTGGTACATTTTAGATCTACATAGTGAAAACACTCATCATAGAGAATATGCACCTGTACATGATATATCTTGGCTGTTCTTATTTGTCCTTCCCCCTCTCAACCCCCTTCCCCACCCTACATACAAAAGCTTTATTTCCATTTTTCTTGTCCCTTCCTTCCTTCCCCCATCCTGCTTCCCTTGTTCCCCTTCCCATTTGAACATTTCTTCCCATTTCCCAACACGTATTATACATTTTATCCTTACTTCCACTTTGTTTCTCACACCAGAGAAATGATTTTTAAACGTGTGTCGAATTTATTTCTTTTAAGAGTATGGTCTCAAGGTGCATCCATTTAGCTATAAATGTCTCAAGCTCATCTTTCTGTATGGCACAGCAGTACTCCATTGTATAAAAAAATCACATCTTCTTTATCCATTTGTTGGTTGATGGGCATTTGGGCTGTTTCCAAGATTTAGCTATTACAAATTGTGCACTATAAACATGGGTGTGGGCCAGGGATTTAGCTCAGTGGTTTTGCCGCCTGCTGCGCAAGCGCAAGGACCCGAGTTCGATCCTCGGTACCCCCCCCCCAAAAAAGAATTATCAGCTTCATAAAACATGGGTGTGCATATATGGCTCTGGTGTGATGCATTCAATTCTTTCGGGAAGATACCAAGAAGAGGAATAGCTGGGTCAAATGGAACCTCTAGTTTCAGTTTTTTGAGGAATCTCCACACTGATTTCCACAGTGGTTGCACCAGTCTACACTCCC